TTATTATTTTTGTTTGTTTTTTTGTGTTTATAAGTGTAAGCCATTATTGTGATATATATATATATATATATATAAAATTCTTATTATTTACAATAAAGATGTCCCAAAAATATGTTAAAAATATAACTAAATATGACAGATTACATACATTTAAAATTATAGCGATGAAGTTTGCTGTCTAGAAGCACTGTAATATATTCTAGATCTGTTAATTCGTATTGCAGTGTTTTCATTTTGTTTTTTACATTTTTTGACAGCTATGATTGTTGTAAATAAAATAATTAGACTTGCAAGACTAAAAATTGCAATTGGCAATTATATTGTATATGTTTAAAGTCCAAAAATGTTTTTCCATCATCATAAGTTTAGTCAACTTTATTTGTTCTTTTTGATCAAAACCATCAGCATCGTATTCCATGTTGTTAATAAAAAACATTGTATTCAGATTAAAAGATACTATATAATTAGTCAACAAATCAAGCTTTTCAATAAATAAATCATTTTTTATAATTGTAGGATTCTTTGTAAACAGTAAAGTGTGTGTATCGTTAAGGACTAATGGATCATGAAATGTCATTGTGCTTTTGACAATTTCACAATCGCGTTCGTATTCAGCGCAAAACATTTTTTCTTTTTTAAAGTTTTAGTAATATTCATTCTCAACGATATATGTACACCTTCCTGAATCATGTAAAGCACTAATGCTTAAAGAGCTTATATGTTTATCATCCAAGATGGAGGGTAAAAAAATTGATGATTTTGAATTTGAAAGTAAAGTTTTAATATTTCTGCAGTCAAAAATTGCGTTATTTAAAAGATCAAGTAAATCTTGCTCGTAAGATAATGGTATTTTTTGTTCAGAATTTATCTTGGTAATTGAAGATCCTTGATTCATGGTTTCAATTTTTATCTTTAAAGAGTCAATTTCCGATTGTAAATTTCGCAAGGGAGAAACAATTGAAAGTAAATGTGTTTTATCTTCATTTAGTTGTTGAATATTCTTTGAAAGAGAATACTTTATCTCTGCAATGCTATTTTTTAATGTCAACAAATCGGAATTATGTTCATCACTTTTTTGTACATTAGAATTCAAAATATTGAATATACTTTTTTCTAATTCTTCAATTTTTAAATTTACTACGGAGTTATCTGTAGTTTTGTCAGAAAGTTTTAATTCATTTAATTTTAAAGATAGTTCTGATAGTTTTGCATCATAATCAGGTCTAGTGCTTAAAACTGTTTGAAGTTGTGACTCAATTTTATTTGTTAATTCTAACAGACTTGCCTCTACTTGTTGTAATTTCTCTTTCTGATCATTTAAGTTACCTGTATTGGATAGATGTTCTTTTATTACCTGGATATCGTCTTCATTCTCACTGATTTCCGAAAGTAATTTATTTATTTTTAAGGAAATTTCTGATAGTTTTGCATCATAATCGGGTCAAGTGCTTAAAACTGTTTGAAGTTGTGACTCAATTTTATTTGTTAATTCGAACAGACTTGCCTCCCTTGTCTCTGAATTTATCCGAATATAACTTTCAATCAGGCTGGAAAATAAGTCCCTTGGACAGTTCATCCGACTCTGAAGCAAATGATTCACCAATTCGACCAACTGTTTATATCCCGTCGTCAAACGAATATGTGTCAGAAACAGAACTCGAACTTTTTTTAAGTGACACAGAACTCTTTGAAAACGACCAACACCAGATAGTTTCATCAAGTTCGGATTCGGAAGAAATTTTTCTGGGAACAATCAATCCGGTTCAAATTGAAAGTGATAAATCATGTAATTTTGCGGATGTTGAACAAACTTCAAGCGAATGTTCAAAACAAAACTTTGTAACAAAATATTGCATTGATTGTAAACAGGAACTAACAATTTTACCTCTATGCAGAAAGTGTTACCACAAAAAATTTATTAATTTTCCGAAACGAAAACAAAACAGAAAAAATAAGAAAAAAATACCTTTTATAAACCTTAAAATTGCGGATATCTATGAAAACAACGAGTTAAACATGTGCAACATATGTTATACTAGGGAGAATACACATGGTGTCATGCACGGTAATCTAGCGCACCGTGTGGGATGCCACAATTGTGTTAAGAAAATAAAAAAAGGATTCGGTAGATGTCCTATGTGTAGAAGAATTATTGACAAAATTGTAAAAATAATATAGTTTTGTTATATATTGTACATCACTTTATTAATCAACATAGAAAATTTTCACTTATACTTTAATTAAAATATAAAAAAAAAAAATATTCAAATTTTTTATTTTAGTTCTGGATATCAGTGACCCTTTCGTTTTTATCAACATGCCCTATAGAGAAGATATATTACTCCTGGGTTCCTCTCTTTGCAACCAAGTTTCAAGATGTATTCAAGAATCAGGGCTGAATATTGACTCCATTTTATTTAAAGGAAACATTTCGTTAGAAAATATAAAAAACAAATTAATTAAAAATAATAGGTCTTATAAAAAAATCTTTTTCATTTCCGGGAATAATTTGTACCCTTCAAAATTGCATAAAACCCAAAGGGGTTCCCATGTATGCCTAAAACCTTTTGCACTGCAAAAATGCATTAATATTTATCAACGTTTATTAGAAATTCTGGAACCATTTACAGATCATTTGATATTTTTGGAACCCCCCCCTCAAGCCATCAAAAAAATTGAAATCTCCGATAACTGCTTATTTTTCGATGCTGAATGCAAAAATAGATTCCGCACTGTAATAAATAGCCTTTCTAGAAAAATTAATGTAGGAGTTTTAACTTGTTCTACAATTCTTGGTTTTTTAGGAAGGAAAGATTTGGAAAGCCTCTTATCTACTGACAATATTCACTTAAGTACGTTAGCGCTTCAAACTATTGTACAACAGGTGATCAATAACTAATCATAGTCAAATATAACATAATAGAGATGCTTTTAACAATATTTTTCCTTTTAACTTTTAACAGTGCTTTCCAAAGCTTTCCTACCTTCCATCAGGGTGACCCTGTGTCAATTTATAAAACGATTTCAAAATATCAACAATCTTGTTCAGTCGATTTTTTAGACAAAACTGACAACCTGGTTACTTTAAAAAATTCCCTCAAAATGTTAGTTTCACCAGAAAACGATGAAATATATATAAAACCACTTTTTTCTTTACTGAACTGGATAAAGAATTATTTTGTAAAGATAAAAACGTTACAAACAAAACCGGCCTATGTATATGAGAATGAGTCAATTGTACAGATTAAAATTTTTGAAACATTAAAAAATATTATAACAAACTTTTCTGGAATAAGAAGTAAAAGACAAGGTGCAACGAATATTATTATATCAATCGGGAAAGATAATGAGTACATAAAAATGACCGAAGTTCCGGGTTGCTCCCCTGAATTGTAGGAACAAGATTGCTTGTTTGAAAAAATTCTTAAATTTGGTCAAAACTCTAATTTCTAAATATATTGGAACTGATCTCTTAAACCCATTAATTAATATATTAAACAGGCCTATTTCCATTGCAACAACGTCAAATATACAAGAAATCGGACATTTGATTCAGAGTCGGATGAACTGTCCAAGGGACTTATTTTCCAGCCTGATTGAAAGTTATATTTGGATAAATTCAGAGACAAGGGAGCGGTATTAGGATTTGATAAACTTATGTTTAAATAGTATTCCGGATTTATGTGTCTTCGTTTTATTTGCAACTCAATTGACGAATTGTGCAAAAGTCTCTTTAGACGTCTTGGGAATGACCTCAGGTCAATGGGGTTTATTTCCGTAGATAGTGAAGCAAGCAACGGTAAATATTGGGACATGTGAAGATGGTTTATTTTCGTGAATTGTCTCAGAATTGTCCCCCTTGTCGACACATGTGTACGGTCTGTTTGCAAACCAAACAAACATAGAAGTTTGAAGAAATAATCTTTAACCTCATGGAATTTGAATATATTTTGATGAATTAAAGTTCCAAAGGTATCTTGCAAAACTTTGAAAAGATTCGAATCTAGTTCCACTCTAACATTGATGTTTGAATACTGTGAAATCTTAGCATTGGCTCTTTCTATCCTTTCTAATTCTCCAGAAATCGGAACAATTGGCATATTTGCTTTTGTTTGATATAAAGTTTCTCGCAAAGAGGTAAATGATCTTGTACTGCCATAGTATCTCACTTCATTCAATATATAGTCCTTCAAATCCATGACAGCAAGTATATTTTTTTTAAAGATTCTTTTTAAATCATGTGTGTCTGGCAGTATTATCATGTATGGGTTAGAAGGATCATATAGTTCTTCTTCTTTTATATAGTTTGACAAAATGGTCAAAATGAGTGCAGAGATAAAATGTTCAATATTTTTTGTTTAGTTTTACTGATCAAAAATTGTTTTAGGGCGGAGTTTTCCTTCCATTCATACAGAGCACAGAGAAAAGATCCACTAGATTCCATTGCACCGCTGTAAAATATAAACTTATTAAAAAAAATGAAAAAATTTAGATAAAAAATATACTTTTTAAAGAAATACTTTAATAATTTACAATGATTGATATTAATTTATCTATTAATTGATTTATTGGTTATTAGTTCATTGTGTATTGCAGTATGGCAGGTTTACTTAGTGTACAAATCTAGGATTTATTGTAGGACAGGTTTATTAGTAGTGTACAGATATGTTGTTACACAACAGTATTAATTATTTCTAGTTGATATTTATCTTTAAAAACCAGTTTATATGCAGAATAAAAGTTTACTTTTTTGGGATTCCTATAAATATAAGTTTAGTTTAAGTCATCATGTCCGCTAAAGAATTACTTGACAGATATTCTGAGTATTTAAACCAAACCAAATTTGACCCTACAACCGAGTCTTCTACTCTATCAAGTTCTACTACTGAAGCCCATTATTTCATTATATAGTAATCTCGACTTATAAATGAGAAAATATGGTGTGAAACACCCTGTAGGTTATCTAGAGTCCAGATTCAGAATTATTAACCCCCCTCTAGATGTAGTCTCACAGTTACCTACTTTCCGTCAATGTTTGAACAACTTAAAAATTGATCAAAGTGATGTTTTATTAGACAAGAGACCAAGACAGAAGCTAGCAGAAACAGACAGTATGACAGTTATGACTTAACTCAGTTTTTCATTTTATTCAGTGTAACTCTCTTCTTTTCGTTTTATATTCTTCTTATTCATTTATTTTTTTTGTGTTATTCCTGTAAATACCACACAAAAGAAGACAAAAAAGGACGATAAACCAACAGAAACCCATTCCCATCTACCTATTCCTCCTCCTATTTACAGATCAACTGTTTTTGTTTATCCAGAAACAAATCTTCCCACTGGAATAGAAAACTTCAATCATCATTTATAAAAATAAAAATGTTACTACTCTCCTTGTAATACGGAATGAATAATATGAACAGATTTATTTGAATACAATAGTAATTTAATTTTCTTTTTATATGGACATGCCTACAACTATTAACATTTTATAATTACAGAAAAGAGATGTTAAGATGTACTGCACTTCACAATTCAAATCAAGGTAAAAAGTTTTTATCATGTTTTCGAACTACTCGAATTAGTTTTTTGTTATTTTTTTGGTCTCCTTTTAATTTTAAATGTTTTTCTGTCCCCTTTAGAAGATTCCTAACCGTCTTCCATTTCTTATTTAACGTTTTCCACATTTGACGATTGGTATAATTGTTTGCCCTGAAAATGGTTTTCAGTTCTCCAAATGTCGTCGCGTCCTTCCAAAGTTCTTCGCTTAACGGTACAAATTTGCACAGTGTCGGGTTTGTTCTGTTTACGATATAGATATGATTAGATTCATTATCTGGGTATGAGGATTTTGTTAAAATGATATTTAGAAGTGCATTGTTTGGTTTTATAATGGCATCTGCGTTGAAATAGTTTAGTTCTTCAGCCGTCTTTTCAATGTCCGTCTTCATTTGTTTTGTGTCTAGCAAAAACTTTGCTCTTTGAACTACATGGTGTCCGCAACTGTATCCGTTAGTTTGCTGGATACAGTGCGGGATTTCCCCCTTAAACTCTTTTTTGTATAAATTGTACAAGGTACTTCTCACTAATTTCACTATCTTTATATTCTCCTCCAAAAATGTTGAACCAGAATATTTTTCACTTCCAGAGTCATACAAACTTACTTTTCCTTCAATCCTGTCGATCTAAAATGACGTTGGCTCATAAATGGCAAAAAAATCAGTCTTGAAGATGCTGCATTCAGAACTACCTTCTTTATCTTGTCCGTGAATTCTATAAGTTCATTTCGATTACTTTTTGTTTGAAGATTGTAACTAACATTGAAACCCAAACAAACTGGTTCGATATACTTGGTTCTGCCCCCCATCTCTTTTAAGAGGATTTCAACCATAAGGATGGTCAACCATTCACCCTCAGTCAAGCATAAAACATCAGCAACACGAATGATTTCTTGATTTTTAACCAATAGGATCTCATTATTGGGGCTGGTCTTTGCCCTAGTCAAGAGGAAGTCCCCCTTATTCAAGGCGTCTTGCTGTTCTTAGCCTGTGAAATGGCAAAGAACACTATTAGTTCTTGCGAAAATGGCATTTCCGGTTCTTTTATACTGTTCTGTTTACTGTTCAACCTTCAGACAACAACTTGCGAATCTCCTGTCAGAACATGAAATAATATATTACTATATATTGTGTATAAGTGATTTTGTTTTAATATTACATTTTATAATTTACAAATTTTATATTGAAATAATATTGTTTATTATGTTTAAAAAGAAACTTAAAAAATTTAATCTTCAAAAAGGGACACACCCCCATACTTAGTTAGCAGGTTTGCAAAACTTTCACTTTTTAGTATAACCTTGAATGTCTCAGTACAAAGAGTGAGTTAAAAATTATATTATTACGTATACTTATTGCCAACAAATACCGAAACATAACATCTCAAAAAAAAGGGGGTGGGGGTCTGGTTTAATATTATTATGTAATTTATAGATTTATTAAATTCAAAACTCTATAATACTTTACACATTTATATATTAATTGTCGCCAATATATCTTACTATAAAATTTTGATATATTTTTAGATCTTAATTATTCATCACTCATATTGCTATAACCATAAATCTTTTTATTATATTTTTGTTACTTAGTTTCATAAGTATTATTTTGATATTTGTCAAAAGGTATTAATATTTTTATGTTACTTTTTTTATAATTTTAACATATGAATAATTTATATTTGTTGAGTTATATATTAATATTAATTGTAAGTATAGTAAAGATTTAAATACTTTAAAACTTTTCTATCGTAAAAGGTGGGATTTGAAATCTGTTTAAATCCTTTTTCCTAGTACTTTTGCTTTAATCAAAAATGTGGGGTTTAAACATTTTAAATTAAATATAAGCCTTTCCCTTATACTATTTTTTTTAACTTTGCTGCAAAGGTTACTTTTGGGTTGGCTGTGTTGGTCCTTTAAAAATATGCATTTGTTTAAAAAGGTAATTAAACAATATAAGCTAAAACCCAATTTGTTAGAAATAAAACTAAAAGTATGTTTGTTATTTTAATATAAATTAATTATTTAGGAGTTTTAATCATCTGATTGAGCATCATCAAACTTGAGAAAGATCAGGAAATTAGGAAAGGACGAATCAAGCTGAATAAGAGGAGAGATCTTGTCTGTTCTTAAACAAGAATTTGGAACTTGCCAGCTAAATTGAATTGAGCATCATCAAACTTGAGAAAGATCAGGAAATCAGGAAAGGACGAATCAAGCTGAATAAGAGGAGAGATCTTGTCTGTTCTTAAACAAGAATTTGGAACTTGCCAGCTATACCAGATCTGAAAACCAAGGCTACTCATTTGATGCATCAAAAATACTCTAAAATGTTGGAAAGGAGAATGTGAGAACCAGATGACTATGTTTAGATGACTACGCGTAGATGATATTGGTCAGTTAATTTTTTTTTTATTTTTAAAGTTATTCAAATTTTAATTGAAAAATAATATTTAAGGTAGAACAAGCGAGAGTTAAGACTTCCCAACATGCCGAATGATTCATGGAAAGGGAGGGAAATTGAATTGGAGAAAGTCGATGTGTTGCAGCAGAATCAGGAGTTAGATGACAACTTGGCTTTTATAGACAGGAGAGGGGAAAAACAACAGATAAAGGGAGAGAAGTTAAATATCAAATCGAACCGATTTAGGTTCGTCAATCTCGATAATATCGTCATCTAATAAATAATTATTAAAAATTTCTTCTTTTTCCCTTAATATTATCTTGGAAGTTGATCTAGTTTGTATTTTTTTTGTGTTTTCTTCATTTCTCTTATAATTAAAAAGCATGATAATGTTGTCTGCAGTTAAGATATTTAATTTTTCTAATATAATATTTGGTATTTCTGATGGTTGTTCATTTTTAAATAATTCTATCTTTTTAATATCATTGTTTGATCTCACGGTATGTGAACCATCAATTAAATTTTCTAATACAGAATAGAACTCTTTAACATATAGTACTTTAAATGGTAGGAATTCAAAACTTTCTCTTAATTTTCTGAAAGTACCAATTACTTCGCTAAATTTTTTTATAACACAGAAATCTCCTTTGTTTAGTTCAGTGTCTTTTTTATGAATATTTTTTCTTAATTGCCTCTTTTCCAGATTTTTCATTCGGCGTTCAGAAAACTCATTTTCAATTTTATCAATGATATCATGATATTTGTCTCTTTCTTCCCAAAATTTTGGAGGGATTATATTTTTAAAAAGTTGTTCTTGTTCTGGTCTCAAAAAATCATGTCTCAAAAATTTTATTCCATAATGAAGTTGGGTGGGTGTTAATTTTTCATTATAAAATCTTCTATTATTAATTATAAAAGTAGTAATCGGAATTAAGTCCTCCCATTTTTCCCTATCATGTAATGTAAGTGTTTTAAGACCCTTTTGTATAATCTGGTTATAAATTTTGATAATCGATCGTGCTCTGGATCTATATGGACTTGAAACTGGTTGGATAATAGAATGTGTATTTAAAAATTTCATAAATTCAGATGATTGAAAGCCACTGTAATTATCACATAACAAGTATTTTATCACACCATTTGTTGAAAGATAATTACGAATACAATTGACTATACTATTACTTTTTTTATCTTTTAGTACATATGTACTTATAAATCTACTATAAAGGTCCACAAAAACTAATAAGAATGCATTTTTTCCTGGTAGGCCTTCTATAAAGTCCATAAAGACCATTAGATTTGATTTTTTTACTGGAAATATTCCATGTTTTTGTTTATCCATTTGAGATTTTATTAAGACACATGCAAGGCATGATTTCGATGTTTTTTTCTGCAATCCCTTTAAGAAGTTTTGGTTGTTCAATAAAATATAAATTTTTGCAGGCTGAAACTAAAGCATTTATTCCTTGATGCAATCCAAGTAAATTTTCACGTAAAACAGCAAAAATGTATAAACTAGGCGGCAAAACACATTTGTCATCTATAAACATGAGACCATTCAATTCTACAGCTTTTGAGGGAAGGGCGATTTTATTTTGATGTGTGATAATTTCTGCTCTTGTTAAAAATTTATCGAGTATATTTCTTTGTTCCATTAATATTTTTAATGTATTTGTTTTAAAATGAACATTTTCTTCAATTGGTTTAATATCTAAAAAATATTGGTTTTGTATTTTTACATCTATTTTATTTTCCGAAAAATTAATTAAGTCCGGGTATTGTTTACAAAAATCCATAATTGACGACCAGGTAAGATATTCAGGGAGTTTTTTTCTTACTTCATGGTTTATTGTTAAAGGAGTTAGACTTCTTGAGAAAAAGGTAGATTTTGGGAGACCCAATCGGGATAGAAAATCGTAAATATTTTGTTTCCCTGAGATATTAAGAATTCTTACATTTTTATATGATAAAGCAATTTTTAAAGACCATCTAATTAGTTTTTTACTACTATTTTGAGTTTCTGGATTAAACATAAAAAACTAGTTCTTGAATCAGTGCAAACCAAAGTAAGAGGCGACCCAATTATCTCAGTTTTAAAGGAATCCAGGGCGTAAAGCAGTGCACTAGATTCTTTCAAATAGATAGCATGATGTAATTCATTTTTTGCAATGGCCTTTGAAAATTGCAAAATTAATTTAATGTTTTTCTTTGCATCAATGTTATCTAAAGATTTTTTGAACTGTTCTAAAATTAGTTTTGGATCTACTTTATCAATACGCATTTTATTATTTGTTTCCAATTTGAAATTATCCAGATCAATCTTATCCAGGATATAAAATAAAGTAAACTTATTAACACCTGTTTCATGTCCCAAGATTACATCAGTTTTATACCCGTCAATCAAACAAAAATAAGGTCGTTTTTGTATTTTATTATTGCCAAAAATTAATTTAATATTACATTTGAATACAATTCCCGCTATTGCCAAAAAATGATCAAAATTTGATAGAAAAAATTCATTTGATATTTTCTCAAAAAAATTACTTGTAAAAATACATTGAGTTTTTTCGAAGAATCAAATTGTCTTCTAATTTTCAAGATGTAACTGAAAATCATATTTAAAAAAAAAAGAAATATTGTGTTCGTTCTAGTCATAAATTTCATGAAAATTTTGAGAATATGTAAGTAAATGAATAAAATTTTCAAACATTGAATCGTGCTCTTGAGAGATAATAGTTTTACAAGATATTTTGTAGAACATAATATGATTTTTGTAGGCTTCAGGAATGTTGTCTGATAAGAAATCTGGAGGATTTAGACGATAATGACTTATATCATACGAAAATAGAATGGCGCCTAATGTCGATTCCGATGCGTCACTGTAAATTATTTTTATAGAATCTTCTGAGTCCGGCTCTTGATAATTCAAATCCATATTTAAAATCTCTTTAATTTTATCAAATGCATTATCATGTTCGGATGTCCAACTAAATTTACTTTTGTCTGATGACAATGGGTTTAGAACAGACACTAAATCTATGACTTTCAATGGAATTAAATGCCTGATGAAGGTCAAATAACCAAGAAAACGCTGTAACTCTGTTACTGAATTTGGTGTTTTAAAATGTTTTAAAATATTTAATTTATTTTTATTAGGTATTATTCTTCCTTTGTCTACTTCATACCCTAATAACTTAAAATTATCTTCCTTTACTTTAATGAAAAATTCACTTTTAGGTATATTTATTTTTAAACCAAGGCGATTTAAAAGATATAAAAATTTGTCTACGTCCATCATATGTTTCTGTAATGTTCCTACTGAGCTTATTAGGAAATCATCAATCCAAAATTTGAAATTTGTAGTATTTGTTGACAGTGGATCAAAAAGTCCATTATCATCCATGTTTAGTTGTTGATTCACAACAGTACCCCAGAACAGAGGTATATTACTCAAACCTGTGATTGGAGCCAAGAATCTTACACAACGCTCAGGGGTGTAAACCTGGGTAATATTGAAATCTAAAGTTTTTTGGCTACATCTCAACGAATAGAACGCGTTGGTCAAATCTACCTTACTCAAAAAATCATATTTGGACATTATATTTTTTAGAGGTTCCGTAACTGAGTCTGAAAAAGTTGATACAGGTTGCCTTATATAAGAATTTACCATTCGTGTATCTATAATAAGTCTGTGGGCCCTTGAAGAATCTGGACGGCTTACTAAATAACAAGGAGATCCCGTAATATTATCTAATTTTGCATTTTCGGCTAATCCAAAGAAGATAAGAAAATCTAAGATGTCGTTTAACGACTCATTTTCTTCTTTAGATAAACTATAGGCTTTGGTCATTTTTGGTAGTTCTTTAATTAAGGGTATGTGATAGAATGAAAAAGAGGTTTTACTAAAAAGAGTTTATATTTTTATATTTATATTCTTGAGCTAGACTTGAGATCTACTCAGTCCTCTTAATTCAAAATTTAACCTTTTAATAGAAAATTTAAAATTATTATAAAGACAACTTGACTTTGTACACTAGCAAAAGATTGAGAATTTATAATTTTTATTTAGAACCTCTAGCGGTATGTTTTGTAACTACAAATTCTAGCGTATTTGCAGTCCAGGAAGTGTATAGAGGTAAAACAAGTTTTATCTCTGGTTGTGTTGAAAGTTACTATAAGGCTTGTATTTAGCCTAAGGCAAGAACAGGTATACTACTGCATAGTATGTATATTAAACCTGGTTTAGAGTCACGGCTTAGGGCTACGGTTTATAGGGTATACTACTGCATAGTATGTATATTAAACCTGGTTTAGAGTCAGGCGCGTACACAGGAATTAAGCCAGGGGGGCAAGTTTTCGCGCGAAGCGCGAAAAAAAAAAATTTTGCCCCCCCTGGCCTTAAAAATGCTGTTATTCTATATTAAGTCTACTACATGTCCCCTAGGTGGCCCATTTAGTATTCAAGGACTATATATTACAATGTATCCCTCTGTTTAGTTCTGTATTACTCCCTGAAGTCCTGAGTAGTCTCCTGAGACTACTCCCCTTTCTAGTCCACTGTAGTCCCAATTCAAGGACTACATATTATAATGTATCTAATATCTATCTGTATATGTATTACCCTCTGAAGTCCTGAGTAGTTTCCTGAGACTATTTCCCTTTATCACTGTAGTCCCAATTCAAGGACTACATATTACAATGTATCCATTTGTATAGTTCTGTATTGACCTCTGAAGTCCTGAGTAGTCCAATGAGACTACTCCACTTTGTAGTCCTCTGTAGTACCGATTCAAGGACTATATATATTATAATGTATCCCTCTGTATAGTTCTCTCAATTCCTGAGACTACTTACCTTTGTAGTCCACAGACTATATATTTAAATGTATCCTTCAGTATTTTCGGGAAAACATGCCAAACGCTTGCATAATGCATATAGCTATAGTTGTTTATCAAGTATGCGGGGGGGGGAGATTTTAGATAAAAGGGAAATACTACGGTAAAATTTGAAAATAAATGGCGCAAAGAACCACCAAGAAAATTTTTAACTATACTTTTTAAGGGGGAAAACACCCCTTTGATGATGAGGGCAAGCTCTTTTTATTACCCAACACCTGATTTTTACCTTTGCTCATAAATCCCAGGGGGGGGCACGAGGACTACTGCCCCCCCCCCTCCCTGTGTACGCGTCTGTGCATAATGCATATAGCTATCTATAGTTGTTTATCAAATATGCAGTGGGGTGGAGATTTTAGATAAAAGGGAAATACTAATCTAAATTTTGAATATAAATGGCGCGAAGC